TCTAAAAGATTATTCTTAGAGATGTTTTACATCAATAAAGAGGTTAATTCCTTGAACTTCAGAACTGACACCCAGAACCTTAGTTCTATCTACAGCTACCTTGTTATGAAGGATTGGGGTACAAGGGACCAAACATTTGTGGAGAGTGATTTTCTTGTTTTCTAGTTTAATTTTTTTCTCGGATTTTGGTGTATTAGTGCACTTCACAAGTTTGATTCACTTTTCAAATTCAAATTTTCAATTTTATTCCCCCTCTTAACGCCACCTAGTGGTTGTTTTTGGTGTATTTGGTGTTTTACCGGGATAACGGTTGGTCAGCCTTGTTCTTTCCAGTTTTTTGTGGTATTAAAAACTTGCGTGACTTATTGCGTCTTAACTTTTAATGTAGAATTTTTAACGTGTTTTCAATATTGTAAGTAATACTTAATCTTAATAGTTTCATAATTAACTTTTTCAAAAGTTTTTAGTATTATTTGATCTCTAATTTGTTACTTTTTGTGAAATTGGAGAGGTTTAGTGGTTAAAAAGATGTCTAGCGTTCAATTATTGCGACCTCATGTTTAACTTTGGTTCAGTTCCATGTGCAATCCACTTTTGTAAGTAGTTAAGATACATTTTGTACGAATTTTTATAACTTTTGTTGTTTCAATATTGTAGTTACCCTGAAGAAGGAAAAATAAAATTTCCGAAAGCTCGGTAAAGATAAAAGGAAGCCTTTTTCAATTATCTAGCCCTGTCGTGTTGGTCGTGTATCCCAATAAATTACTTTAGTTCCTAGTTACAAATTTCTTTTTGCACACGTTGATGCAATTTTATGACCATATAAGGTAAGTTTGTTCCTCGAGTTTTGATTGGTCGAGATGTTCTTCTTCCTGGGGAAGCGACTGCGTCCTAACCAGGGGGGTGACACGACATAAGAATAAATTTATCTAAGTATGTAGTTCCCAACGATATGGCAACGCCGCTCGCTTCGCTTCTCTCTGGATAGGCCATAGCACGCTAAAAACTGTCCTATTGATATACAAAGAGTGTTTGTAAACAAGTGAATAAACAGTGCAGCTTCAGCATTTTGATTTGTTTTTATTTAAAATATTTTTAATTAAAAAATGGAAAACAAAAGATTAGAATGTTTTATGAAAACTTCGTAACTATAATTTCTTTATTATTTTAAATAAACAATACCTTAAATTTATTAACTTGTTACTTAGATTGCTTTAATAAAATTCCTAGGTTAAGTAGTCTTTTTAAAAATTAAATTATGAATTGTGTTCGCTCACGCGCAATCGGTCGCCATCGACTGACGTCTGCCTTCAGAAGTTTTGGGAGCTTGAACAGATAAAGGAAACTACTCCAGTTACTCAGAAGATACTCAAAGTGAGAATCACTTCATATCAACGCACAGCCGTACCGTTGATGATCGATTTATGGTAGCTCTACCCTTTAAAAATACTAACCTAGAATTAGGTGAATCATATTCCCAGGCGCTGCGACGTTTTATATACTTAGAAAAAAGGTTGACTAAAAATTCTGAAATTTTCAAGAAGTACAAAGAATTTATGAACGATTATCTTCTAAAGAACCACATGTCTCTGATTAGCAAAGAAGATCACCACAACAAGAACGCTTATTATATCCCTCATCATTATGTCCTTAATTCCTCAGCCAAACTCCGTGTGGTCTTTGATGCATCTGCAAAAACTTCTACCGGAAATTCGTTGAACGATCTTTTGTTGCCTGGTCCCAAACTTCAAAACGATATAAGTTCAATTCTAATCAAGTTTCGATGTTACCCGATTGCCTTCATGTGTGACATTCAACAAATGTATCGACAAATCTTAATCGTTCCTCATCATCGCGATTATCAGCGCATCTTATGGAGAGATTATAAAAGTGGTGAACTTAATGAATACCAATTAAATACCGTTACCTACGGAGTTTCTTCTGCTCCGTACTTGGCCTTGCGTACTATCCAAGAGCTTGCGCGGCTTAATGCAGCACAATTTCCTGAAGCTTCCCGCGTATTATTACACGACATGTACGTTGATGATGTTGTGACGGGAAGTTTTTCGGTTCGTGACGCGTTGGACTTGCAAAATCAAATTATAAACATTATGTTGTTGGCTGGTTTTAAGTTAGCTAAGGGTGCAAGTAACGAACCTAAACTATTAAAAAACGTTAGTGCCGATCTTCGTGTAAAACCGGTATCATTAGATAATAGAGAAGATGGTGTCGTCAAGGTTCTGGGTCTCCACTGGGAGCAATATAACGACAATTTTGGGTTCTCTTATCAACCTCGTGATCACCTCTGCAGTAAAAGGGCTATATTATCCAATATCGCACGCATCTTTGATCCCCTTGGTTTAATTACGCCATGTATTCTCGCTGCAAAATGCCTCATGCAACGCTTATGGTTAGAAAAATTATTGGATTCAATATCAGTTTCAAATCCCAATGTTGTCAGAGTTGAAGATTCCCATTCTAATTCTTCCCGCTAAAGATTTACACGTTGAGCTCCATCTGTTTTCTGATGCATCTTCGGTTGGGTACTGTGCGGTGGCGTACCTTCGATACATTTTGCCTAATAACAATATTAATGTCAGTTTGATTTGTGCCAAGTCTAGAGTAGCCCCGCTAAAGACTATTTCGTTACCTCGACTGGAACTTTGTGGCGCCGTCCTGTTGGCTAATATGGCGAAATTTATCTTATCAAANTGATTAGCAAAGAAGATCACCACAACAAGAACGCTTATTATATCCCTCATCATTATGTCCTTAATTCCTCAGCCAAACTCCGTGTGGTCTTTGATGCATCTGCAAAAACTTCTACCGGAAATTCGTTGAACGATCTTTTGTTGCCTGGTCCCAAACTTCAAAACGATATAAGTTCAATTCTAATCAAGTTTCGATGTTACCCGATTGCCTTCATGTGTGACATTCAACAAATGTATCGACAAATCTGAATAGTTCCCCATCATCGCGATCTTATGGAGAGATTATAAAAGTGGTGTACTTAATGAATACCAATTAAATACCGTTACCTACGGAGTGTCTTCTGCTCCGTACTTGGCCTTGCGTATTATCCAAGAGCTTGCGCGACTTAATGCAGCACAATTTCCTGAAGCTTCCCGCGTATTATTACACGACATGTACGTTGATGATGTTGTAACGGGAAGTTTTTCGGTTCGTGACGCGTTGGACTTGCAAAATCAAATTATAAACATTATGTTATTGGCTGGTTTTAAGTTAGCTAAGTGGGCAAGTAACGAACCTAAACTATTAAAAAACGTTAGTGCCGATCTTCGTGTAAAACCGGTATCATTAGATAATAGAGAAGATGGTGTCGTCAAGGTTCTGGGTCTCCACTGGGAGCAATATAACGACAATTTTGGGTTCTCTTATCAACCTCGTGATCACCTCTGCAGTAAAAGGGCTATATTATCCAATATCGCACGCATCTTTGATCCCCTTGGTTTAATTACGCCATGTATTCTCGCTGCAAAATGCCTCATGCAACGCTTATGGTTAGAAAAATTATTGGATTCAATATCAGTTTCAAATCCCAATGTTGTCAGAGTTGAAGATTCCCATTCTAATTCTTCCCGCTAAAGATTTACACGTTGAGCTCCATCTGTTTTCTGATGCATCTTCGGTTGGGTACTGTGCGGTGGCGTACCTTCGATACATTTTGCCTAATAACAATATTAGTGTCAGTTTGATTTGTGCCAAGTCTAGAGTAGCTCCGCTAAAAACTATTTCGTTACCTCGACTGGAACTCTGTGGCGCCGTCCTGTTGGCTAATATGGCGAAATTTATCTTATCAAATATCTCCGGTATCGTTCAACCTGAGATCTTCGCATGGTCCGATTCAATGGTGGTGTTGAACTGGCTAGATTCGTCTCCTCACCGATGGAAAGCTTTTGTGGCGAACCGTACCAGTCATATTCAGGATATTTTACCTGGAAATCGTTAGCGTTATGTACAATCAAAAGATAATCCCGCCGATCCTGGTTCAAGAGGACTTTTACCTTCCGAGATGATACGACGTAAATTATAGTGGAACGGACCTGCATGGTTGTCATCTCATCATTCGCAATGGCCATCGAAATCACCACCTACATGTTCAGATGAGAACATATCAGAAGAAAAACGACTGGTTATCGTCAACGTTGCAGAACAAATAGAAGAAAACTTTTTACATACCTCAATGAATCGCTTCTCGGTTTTAAGTAAGATACAAAATATAATTGCTTATATTCTAAGATTTGTTGCAGGTTGTCGAAAAGAAAATAACCATTCCAATTTATCAATTACAATTCGCGAAAAGCAAGCCGCTCTTTATGTTCTCGCACGTCGAGTACAATCTGAATCGTTTTCCCAACTTAAAGACCAAATCCAAACTGATAAAATAATCGCAAAATCATTCCGTAAATTATCACCTTTTATATGCCAAGAAAAATTAATTCGCGTGGGTGGTCCCCTTCGAAATGCTGAAATTCCTTACGAGGCTAAACATCCCATTTTATTACCAAAGAAGTGTCGATTGAGCGAACTGATTGTCGAAAAGCTGCATCAAGAGCATTTACATCCTGGCTTTCGTACACTCTCCGCTATAGTAGCTAACCAATTTTGGATATTATCGCCTAGAAATGTCATATACAGAGTTATATCACGATGTATTAAATGCTTCAAGACAAANGACATTTTGGTTGACGATGTTTTCACATGCAGAACTTGTAAACTAAAAAAGTAAACATAAATTTTTTAATCGTTTAAACTAATTTATAGATATTTCATTAACTTACCTTCCCAATGTCTGCCTTACTACTCCTCTAGGTAGGTAGATACAAACAAAAATTTATTTTTTTTTACACAAAAAAAGTGTGCCAATCACTATACGCTACGGGTGTCAATTATTGTCATTCAAGTGCCAATCACTGAAATTTAGGTAATTTATACTTCTCAACGAATTTTGAGCTAATTGAGGTAGAAATTATTATGGGAGACGTCTTGTTAATTGAATATATACTATTTTTAATTGCCTGAGTATATCAAACGCAGATTAAACAGCCAAATACGTTAGTTATCACTAAATAAATATTGGTGTCCTTCTTAAAGTGCCAATCACTATACCGTTTACCCTAACACTCACTAAGGATTTCTTTTTTATTAAAATTTTTGGAGGAATTTTAAGTTTCTTCAGTTAATGTTTCGAATTACTGTGTTTTAGTGTATTCCGTTGTTAATTAATTTTGAATTATTATTATAATTATAGATATATTGTGATAAATTTTAACATTCTTTTAGTTCACCGAGAGAACATAACCTTAAAATTGTGACAGAGAGATTTTTTGTTGGTGAAAATTTTATCTTAAACCGTTTTGTTTGCTTCCAAAAGTATCAATTATTATAGTTCAACTCCTAAAGCACATTTTTCATCCATCCTTTGATGTTTTAACGTTATTTTGAGGAAGAAATCCTTAATTTAAATTTGAATTTTTCTAACTTTACTCATTGTTGAAATTTGGCGTGTACACTCTAATGTATGTCTGAAAACAAGAAAAGACAACCTTGAATACGAAGTTTTATTACGTTTCATAAAGGAATAAGGGAGAAATCAACGAAAAAAGAATTTAATTTTGAAGGTTAATTCCGAGAAAAATCAAGAGATAACGCTAGTTGCGATTCAAGAATTTTAAATTTTGAAAAGGGCGCGAAGCTATGAGCCAATCAGAAACGAGGAAAAAACAGTTGGAGTGCCGGGGTATATAAGGAGATCGCGAACAGGGAGCGAGACAGCATACGAGACAGTCGTTGTCTGACCAGCATCGCATCCACGTCGTCAGATAGAAGAAATTTTGAATCTCAAGAGATAACCTCAAAAATTAAGATAATTTTTTAAAGTCAAATCAACTTACGATATATAAAATAAAAAGAGAATCATCAGTTACATTCGCCAATCCTGTAGGGTTGCAATAAAATAAGAAGTAGGAGTTATAGATAAGCAGCTTCTATATAATAAGATGCACCACTACAATTAATTAAGTCTACTTTTAATCGCTGTACCGTGCGCGTCGGGTCATATGTTAATTTTCCAATAAAATAAAACAAATAAGTTTCAAGTTTAAAAGTTGTTTTGATTTAATTTGATTTTAAATAAAATAAACTCTTTTTAAAAACCTTAACCGCTCGACACGATTTGAAACTGGCGCAGTCATTCGGATAACTTGTACGAATACTGGAATTTAGTGAAAGTGTTCGGTGAATTTTAATTCTTCAACAAGCGAATACAACAATTGGAACTTAACGGTGACTTAAAAAGGCGTTCACTGTACTTAGCGAAGAAAGAAAAAGGGACCCACGGTGGAAGGTAAAATTCCTGAAATCAACGAACAAAAGGGTCGGATCAATATTTCCTACACCCACGACACCCACAGCGTGAGGATAATATTTCCCATACGCAACACACCCCCCAGTCCAGAGGATAGAATTTCCCAGCGACCACAACAAAGAAAAACCGAAGAAACGAACAAAGAAGAACGAAGACAAAAACCGAAAACAATTTAGAAATTAAGAAAACAGCTTCCACGTCCGCAACTGACGACAACAACAACAACAGCAGCAACAACATCAACTTTATGTGCACCACAAGGACCATAGCCTTACTCATAGTCCTGTAAGTGATTTCTTTTATATTTTTGTAAAACTGATATTTTCAAAATTGACGAATTATTGGCAAATTTCAAAAATTTAAAATTAAAAATGCAAGGCACATGCAAATCCAGTTCAACCTATTGCGAACATAAATAGAATAGATCAGATAACAACTGTTGAGGTTAATATTATTCCAAAATTTTTTGGTAATCCTATATCTTTACCGCTTTTTATTGAAGCATCAGAAAGTTTAATAAACAGACGAGCCAATAGGGTTAATGAAGATGATCCAATTAATTTTTATATATTGCAAATTATAAAATCACGTTTTGAAGGAGACGCGCAAGATTTAATTGCATCACGGGAATTAAATACCTGGGTTGACATAAAATCATGCCTTGAATTAGCTTATAGTGACCAACGATCAGAAGATTGTTTGTTAACTGACTTAATGAATATTTTGCCTACTACAAACGAAAATCCTTATTCTTTAGGTAATAGAATTAGAAATGTTTTAAATCTCTTGCTGACAAAAGTTAAGTTAACTGTACATCAACTTGCTGATAGACAATTAAAAATCAGTATGTATAAAAAAACTGCATTACAGACGTACATGCGTTCATTGATGCAATATTCAGATTATGGAGAATATATTTATTTAAAAAATCCCGCAGATTTAGAAACTGCTATGCAAAATATTTTAGAAAAACAAAATTGGCAATATTATTGTAAACAATCATCAAAAATAAATCAATTTAATTCACCAAAGCAAAATTTATTAATTCCGGGAAAAGATTTAAATTTATCTCAAAATTCACAGAACAAAACAAATTCTTTAAATTTATCATCAAATTTAAATAGGATAAGAGCAATTGATAAATACCCACAACTCAGGGGGCGTGATGGCTCAGCGTGTTAGCTCTCGGGTTAACACGCAGACGTCCCGGGTTCGAACCCCGGTGAATTCACGTTGAGTCGCCCCCCGTCCTTCGGAGGGGACGTTAAGCCGTCGGTCCCGGCAACCAGTCTAACATCTCTGGTTGTCGTTAGCACGCATGTGTGTGAGGCTCGACTTATAGGGACGAATGCGCGTGAGCGCCCTCTGACCCCTCGGGGTCGGGGCGGCGGTAACTCGTCATTGGAAACGAGTAAGCGGTATCGTCACCTAACGAGATCTTCTCTACCATCTCGAGCCTCCAAGGGAGTATGCACAAGGGGCCCACTGGGGCCTAAGTGCGCGTAAAAATTACGCACTCCTCTCTACATACATACATACATACAATACCCACAACAATTCAATTGAAATCCATTAGGTCGAACTTCACAATTTAGTATACAACCAAGACCCACAACTTTTGCACAACCAAATTTCAATCAAAATCAATTTAATTTTCCAAGACCTCAATTTAATCAACCAAATTATATGCAAAAATATCCATATCAAAAGCCAAATTCTAAACAAAATATGAAACCATTTGTACAACAAAAGCCACACATGCCAACTCCGATGGATGTAGATACCACCATGAGTAATTATAGATTAAATAAATCTAAAATAAACAACATTGAAGGCGAAAATCTATTTTATGATGAAGAAAATGGAATGTACTACCAATACGTCGATCCTTACTTGCAAACACCATCAAATGAAAATTTTAATTCAACACAAGAAGAGATTACAGATGAAGAAACTCATAATTCTTGTCCTGAAATTTCTGAAGTAGACTCTGAAACAAATTTTCCTATAACAGCCTCACCACATCAGAAACCGTAGTTGAAGTAAATTTTCAAAACTCTTCAAAATTACCTTATATCATGTTACCAGAGTTAGATAATGTCAAAATTTTAATCGATACTGGTGCAACACATTCGGCTATATCTTCAAAATTAACAAACAGTTATTTTCAAGAGTATTATTATTATGAACCATATGTAGTAAAAACTATGCATGGATTAACAAAACACTATTATACATTGAATTTACCCAGCTTTAAAACTTTTAATGATTACGAAAACAATTATTGTTTCAATATAATAGATTTTTCTGAAAAATTCGATGGAATCCTAGGTAGCGATAATTTAGAAATGATGGGAGCTAAATTAGATTATCAATCAAAAACGTTACAAACTAAAAATGCGAGTATACCATTTTATTTTAATAAAACTGTAATTTATCTACCCCAACGAACACGACAAATTGTTAAAATACCTGCAACTAACAAGGAAGGACAATTTTTAATACATCGTTGCGAAATAATAAAGAACGTAGAAATACCTAATGCATTAGTAAGTGTTAATAACTACGAATGTTTAGTAGAAATAACAAACTTTAACGAATATCCTGTACAACTAAATTGTAATCCTGTCGAACTTGAAGAACTTGACGTAAAACAATATGAAACAAACAAAACACTTACAAAACAACAAGTAATTAAAATTCAAAGAGAAAACATTAGTAAAAAGTTACGTTTAGATCATCTAAACAACGAAGAAAAATCGGTGATAAAGAACTTGTTACATCAATATCCAGAAATTATACATGATGAAAGAATTCCTTTAACATTTCATTCGGAAATAAAACACGAAATAAATTTATCAGATGAAGTACCTGTTTACCAGAAGCCATATCGACAACCATATGTTCAACAAAAAGAAACAAAAAGGCAAATTGAAAATTTAAAATCACAAGGGATCATCAGAGATAGTTGTTCCCCATGGGCAAGTCCAATAGCGTTGGTACCAAAGAAATTAGACGCATCCGGAATTCCTAAATGGAGGATGGTAATCGATTATCGACGTCTCAATGATAAAACAATAAAAGATCGGTATCCCTTGCCTAATATTAACGAGATATTAGATAAATTGGGAAGAGCAAACTATTTTTCCTGTTTAGATTTACCAAGTGGCTACCATCAAATTGAACTAAAAGAATCAGATAAATATAAAACTGCGTTTATTACAAATCAAGGTCAATACGAGCTCGAGAGAATGCCATTTGGGTTAAGTAACGCACCCTCAACCTTCCAAAGGACGATGAACAGTATGTTACGAGGACTCACCGAGGATATATGTCACGTGTATCTTGACGATATTATTATATTCAGTACCTCATTGCAAGAACACAAAGTACGGTTGCAAAAGGTATTTGAAAGACTAAAGCAGAATGGAGTTAAGATATCTTTAGACAAGTGTGATTTCTTAAAAAAGGAGATCAAGTATTTGGGACACTTAATAACCGAAAAAGGAATAAAACCTGATCCTTCGAAAATCGAAGCAATACAAAAATTTCCCTTACCAAGAACTAAACGTGAAATAAAATCATTCACTGGGTTATTGGGATATTATCGAAAATTCATTAAAAACTATGCGA